TAGTCAAACACTGACCTTTTGTCAGCAGGAGTCAAACCCTGACCTTTTGTTAGCAGGAGTCAAACACTGACCTTTGGTCAGCAGGAGATGTGACCAGTCTAAATCTATGTATGACTGGCTGGTCACATCTTCTACTGATCAAAGGTCGGGGGTTTAGAGAGCAGCCTAATAAGACATTAGTGACTGTACTGACCTCTAGTTCCTGTCGGGACATGTAGGGGTGTGAGATCGGATCATCCAGACAGGAAGCATGCCGTACACTGTAGGTGGCGCCGTCACATTCAAGGGTGCAATCGTTCCGCAGGTTAATCAATGCCAGGAAGGTGTGTCCAGCCTTTTTGGTCAGCAGGTGGTTAGATACTTTTGTCACGCCCTGACACAGAAACAACACATATTGTAGTCAGTTGTGATTGTTAGTAGCCCATTCTTCATTCTATAGTTGATAAAAATGCTCCTAAATTCTATTATGTAAATTAATCGATAATTTTTTCAATTTTTGCAAACTTGAAATTTACCAAAATTTTGCTTTTATCTTTGCATGCTAATTTTTTGCTAATAAACATAACAATTAAGATTTAATTAATCTGTTGAGTTATATCTAATGGTAAAGTAATGCTGCATTTAAAACCTAACTTTGATGTTATCTGACAGTATATAGATTTAACTTACATCCCTGGCAGGCTGAGCCATGCCATACACCGACATTCCACTGATGTTGATCTTCCTAAAGTTAGACACCCTCACATCACTCTGTGTGCTCAGGAGGTCCAGCCCTACATAGTCGTCTGCCACCTGTACATAGCAATACATCCACTTGATATCAACAACTAAACCTGATACTTAATAATCATATCTGATGTTTATTTATCCCCCTGATACTTAATCATTACAACTGTTGTTTAATTATCAACTCTGTGTGTGTCTCCTTACTGCCTTTGTGTCACTCCTACTACGGGGTATATCTCCTACCCATGTGTGTGATTTTTACTTATATGTGCCTCCTACCTCTGTGTTTGTCTCCTATTCCTGTGTGTCTCCAACCCTGTCTGTATCTCCAATTATTGTATGTTTCTCATATCCCTTTGTGTGTCTCTTACCTCTGTATGTCTTCTACCCATGTGTGTCTCTCTAACCCCTATGTATCTCCTATCCTGTGAGTGTTTCCTATAACCTTGTGTATCTCCTATCCTCTGTGTGTCTCCTATCCTCTGTGTGTCTCCTACT